GTTAAATTCCCACCGCCAAAATGTAGCTTCTTTGAACCTTTTCTATAAATACATTCATGCGAATTGTTCTGGTGAATTTTCGTCTATGTTACATAGAATTTGTTAATTTAAGCGCAGCAGGAGATTGGCGGCAAAGTTTTACTGTTTAACAGTTGAAATGGCTAGATGAAACAGTAAGTATCAGGTCATCCCATAAGTTCTGTCCGAATTTTGAATAAAGAAAACAAGTGACCAAATGTTACATTTAATTACAGATTCAATCAACAATGTATTTTCCCTGATTATCTATGACTTCCTTCCATCTATTAACAAACTTTACTAATTCCATTACTGTAAAATTCTTTTGGCTTTGATTCGAAGAACTCACAAATGTCAATTTTAACCTCTTCCTGTGCTACAAAAGCTGTTTCTTCCAAATGATTCTGTAAGCTACGAAACAAATGGTAGTCTGAAGGAGCAAGATCGGGAGAATAAGGTGGATGAGGAATTTTCTCCCAACCAAGTTCTTCGATCTTTTGTGACGTGATTCTTACTGTGTGGGGTCGCGCATTGTCCTGATGAAACATCACCCCTTTTCGATTCACTAGGGCAGGTCTTTTTTTCCTCAAAGCCTGGTTCAAAAGCTCTAATTGCTGACAGTATATTTGAGCATTAATTGTTGCATTAGGTGGTAAGAATTTAAAGTGGATTATTACTTGGCGATCCCACCAGATTGAAAGAAGAACCTTTTGCCCATGAAGTTCCCTTCTCGGCTGTGGCTAGAGTCCTTCCCCTTTACCAAGCCACTGTCTACGACGCTTAACATTTCGATAAAAGATGCATTTTTCGTCGCCAGTCACAAGTCTATCCAAAAAAGGTGAAACAAGTTGGCGAGAATGGAGAGAAGAGCATATGTCAACTCGGGATTTGAGGTTGTTTTCAGACAATTCATGAGGCACCCATTTTCCAAGTTTAGGAACTTTTCCAAGTTGTTGAAGATAACGATGAACAGTTGTATGGTTTGAACTGAGAACCACTGCCAATTCCTCAACTGATAAAGCAGGATTTTCTTCAAGGGCTGCTTCAAGAAGCTTTACATCAAACTCAACTGGACGTCCGGTTCGATCTTCATCTTCAAGGGTGAAATCTCCACCTCTGAATTTTGCAAACCATCTTCTGCAAGTACTTTCATTCACACATTCCTCTCCATAAACTGAGTGAATGTTTCTAGCTGCTTCGGCTGCTGAGTTTCCTTTCTTGAACTCATAAAGCATTATGTGCCTCAAATGATTCTTGGGTACTTCCATGTTAGCAGGGTTTTAATCAAACAAAATTTAATTTTATTGTTCTCTGAAATAAAATTTGATCAGTTTAAATGCATCTAAACATAAAAATAATGTTCAGCTCCATTAGACATTATAAAATACTCTTTAAATTTCGTTTATTTAAAAGAAAAAGGTAAAATTCGGACACAACTTATGGGATGACCTGATATTTTGAAAACGTTTATTTACTTGCACTTCTCGCTTGTGGAACTTACTTCCGGCTTCTTTCTTTCCAGTGATCTTCAAATATTTCAATGCAATGTCAATCGATATCTTTTCTCTTCTTAATTCATCTTCTTTTATTGTCCTTTCCCCTCACTAAAGTCTTCTAATTCTCTTTCACTCTTCTAGAAAGATAGATAGATATGAACGGACGAGTGTATGTATGTATATATATACATATATATATATATATATATAGAGAGAGAGAGAGAGAGAGAGAGAGAGATATGAACGGACGTATGTATGTATATATATATATATATATATATATATATATATATATATATATATATATATATATAAAAGTGAACATAGAAGTCAGCACTTAGAGGCGACAGTCTGTTTCATGTTAGATGCAATCGTCAGGTTGTGGCCTGACGATTGCATCAAGCATGAAAACAGACTGTCGCCTCTAAGTGTTGACTTCTATGTTCACTTTTATATTTACACACGCTCTATCTCTGATATTGAGCACTTTATCCCATAAATATAGCACATCTTAAGACTATATTTCTTCATATATATATATAGAGAGAGAGAGGGATAGATAGATAGATAGATAGATAGATAGATAGATAGATAGTCACATTATGTTCTTGCACGTAAAGTTCCCACACTAAATTCTGTCAACATTCTTATCACTTACGCCACCGGATTTACGAAAATATCTTTCTCACATGGGTGACGAAAGTATCTGATTTATCTTGTTATGGATTATTTCATAGATGGAGTGCACAATGTTTTCGTGCGCAGATGTACCTCCAAGTGTGCGTGTTGCTGTGCTGATTATTTAGCTCGGACAAACAGGTACAACAAAAACTTTTCCGGAAAAGATAAAAAAGAGTTGAACGGCTATCAATCTGGACACTCGCACGAATTTTGCACATTATAAAATTAATGTCTTTACGAAAGAACAAAGATGAGGTGAAGTGGGTTAAGTCACAGGTCTTCTCGTCTCTGTGTGAGTAAGTATGGCGTTTATGGCTTACAAATACGCCCTCGTGTTGAGTACCTCGACGCGGTGTAATGATTACGAGGCTTGTCTCGCGAGAACAAATACGACAATATCAATACGACACAGTAGTGAGTTCGATCCTCACTTGGTTGCCACATACTTTCGACCTTGTGCCATATCTAAGTTAAGCTTAGAAAATAATCATAGCCACTCCAGTGTAGTGTAATAGTTAGCAAGATTGTATCGCTAGAACAATTACGGTTGTCTAGTGAGTTCGATCCGTACTGTGTGCCCCATAATTTCGGCTTTGTGTCACAGCTAAGCTACGCTTAGAAAATTAGCAGGGGCCCTTCCACGTTGTGTAATGGTTAGCAACCTTGTCTTGCAAGAACAATTACGACTGAGCAATGAGTTCGATCCTCGTTGGGTCCCCTATATTTTGGGCCTTATGTCACACCTTAGCTACGCTGATAAAATCACCATATACCCTCATGTAAGATTGCAATTCACTGAACGAAAATAAAATTACAACACCCTGAAGAATAAAACCGATTTTGACCTGGGTACAATACGCCCTAGTACTGTAAGGGTTCTTTCTTTCAGGACGTAGGCGCTTATGGCTCTCCACCTCCTCCATCCCTTACAGCTCTCAACAAGTTCCTTCCTCTCCCTGTCATCCACCTTCTCAATCTCGCCAGGTATGTCACGCGCTGCTTTCCCTTGTCTCTCTTTTCCTTTATTCGACCTGTGAGTATCATATTCTCCAGGCCCTCTTTCCTCGTTATGAGTCCCAGAAACTTCAGCTCCCTCTTTCTGGTTCCTCGTTGTTTGCATTCTCTCTAAGACCTCATCGTTGCTCACACGCTCGGTCCACGATATCCTTAGCATCCTTCTGTAGAACCACATCTCCGTCGCTTCGAGTCTCTTCTTCATCTTTGAGGAAATCGTCCAATATTCGCTGCCGATGGACATGTGTCACGTAACAGCTAAGTATTCTTTTCTTTGTTACCAAAGAAATCCTCCTGCCTCTCAATACTCTGCCCAGCTTTTGGAATGTGTCCTTGACCATCCCAATACGTCTACGGATCTCAGTCGGATAAGGATTAGTGGCTCGAAAAGAGAAATTGGAGAACGCAGTTCGAATTCGCTTTCGTATAAATACCGCTCGGAGAGATATGAATCCATCTCTTAATCCACGGCTGTGGATTTAATACTAGGCGACAATCAATCTAGGAGACGGATACCTATGGATAACTGAAGAGGGATAACTGTCTCAGGCTGTCTTTCCCCTAGACACACCCACTGCTGCAGTACATCATACTTATTATAAAACCCAGGTTGTGTGTGTGTGTGTGTGTGTGTCTGTTCGTTTATATATTGGATCGGATTTCCTACATTTTTCAACCGATTTCAACAAAACTTCACAGGACTACGTAAAATTACCTTGCGGTCGTTCTGACAGCGCCAAAAATTGGGAAAAACACAATTGTTTTTGCACGAAATCAATTTGAAAACACGATTAAGAGGCATCGCCAGAATGAAAGGGGGACAACTCATATCAAGTTATACTTATTATAAAACCCAGGTTGTTTGTTTGTGTGTGTGTGTGTGTGTGTGTGTGTGTGTGTGTGTGTGTGTGTGTGTGTGTTCGTTTCTATATGGGATCGGATTTCCTACATTTTTCAACCGATTTCAACAAAACTTCACATTTTTTTTTGGCAGGTAGTGTTTCTTATTGTCTTGCACACTTTTTTCTTTATTTTTACATTCAGAATGCTTTAAAGACTCATAACGATTGAAAACAATGTTTATGTTTGAGTTTGGGTTTGACCAATTCGTAAAAAACAAAACAAAAAAAAACAAACTAATTAAGACATGCATGTCCGTCAACCTTAAACAATATTTTTCAGTCTTTATGATGGTCGATACTTGATCTATCTCTTACTGTTACATCCCCGGGCAACGCCGGGCTCTACTGCTAGTCTGAACTAAGTGACTTGTGCCAACTGATGGCTGGAATAGATATCATGATGCAATTTTCCAGTACATATTTTCCCATCCGGACAAAGCGTTAACGCAATCTTGTACCGGGAGTGGAATAATACCCATTCTCCACTCTGCACTCCACAGACGCAAAGTTGTAGGCCTTCCATAGCAACAGATGAGCTCCATCCATTGTTTAGTTCCACCAGTTCAGACCATTACAACTAGGATACGCTATGCCACGTATGCAAATTAATTGAAACTACTGCTTTAATTTCTGTTGTAGCATACCTACAGACGATAATGGGCATGTCCCCATTCATTTAAATACAGTAGTAAATACTGTATGTTGGTCTGCAGTTGGAGATACGCCTCCAGCTGTGCTGGGTAAAATCTCTGCCTCCGGACAGAGAGGATACCCAGACGAGGCTGTGTCGAAGGAAAGATAGAGAAATAAGCAGGAGGAGTCATGGATATTCTACAGGGGGACAGGATATCCAATATCATACTCGAAGAGGAATAATTATTTTTTAAAGTCCGGTTCAGGTCAGTCTATTCATATCTATCTATTCATTATCTATCTATCTCGCAGTCTGTTCATATCTATCTATCTATCCATCTATCTATATATATACGTATTTATATATCTCAGTTTGTTGTATCTATTTATTGAAGTATCTACATATTTATCTCCGTTTATTCATATCTATCTATCTCGATTTATTTCTATCTATCTATCTATCTATCTATCTATCTATCTATCTCCAGCTATTCATATCTATCTCTATCTATTTACCTACCTGAATCAGTTCGTATCTATTTCAGTTAGTTCATATCTATCTATCTATCTATCTATCTATCTATCTATTTCCGGCTACTCATGTTTATCTATCTATCTATCTATCTATCTATCTATCTATCTATCTATCTATCTATCTATCTCAATTTCTTAATATGTATCACAATTCCTTCATATCTATCTATCTATCTATCTATCTATCTATCTATCTATCTATCTATCTATCTATCTGTGCATCCTAGCGTTTTCCCATATGTATGTAAGTATATATGCATGTATGTATGTATGTATGTATGTATCTATCTATCTATCTATCTATCTATCTATCTATCTATCTATCTCAGTCTGTTGATTATATTTCTATCTACCTCGCTCAACATATTCTTATATCTATCTATCTATCTATCTATCTATCTATCTATCTATCTATCTATCTATCTGTTTGTCTGGCTGTCTGCCCTATCTATCTATCTATCTCAATCCCTTCATATATATATATATATATATATATATATATATATATATATATATATATTACGTATGTATCGTGTATTTTCTGCTGCGTCACAACGCACCGACTGAGTTATGACTTATCGTACAAAGTGGAAATAAATTTTCCGATTGTTAGTTACGTAGTTGTTGTTGTCTAGCGGGAGAAAAATAAAATTAATGTCCTGCCGACTTGACAGGCCTTCTTTACTAAGCGTTCCAAATTCATTGGAAAACACTTTAATCCTGAATACGTGAAAGGCCGACACGCTTTCAAATCTTGATAAGCCTCCTACTTTCATCTGCTATAAAATTAATGATCTGACAACAATACCGATGATCACCCAAGTTAAGCAACCTCGAGCTTGGTCAGTACAAAGATGGGTGACCGCTTGGGTCATTCGCTGAAAGCTCGAATGGTCTTACGGACGCATCACGTTGAAACACTGGTTCCCGTACGATCTACTAGGTTAAGCAACGTCAGGGGTCCTGGTCGGACGCATCACGTACCTAGATGCAACGTAACCTAACCTCTTGGGAATACCAGGTGCAGTAATCCTGGATGTGTGGGTGGGATGCCTTACGGCCGCATCACATTAAAATTACTACTACTACTAGTACTACTACAGTTCAAAGGTTTGATGGAACCCCTGGTAAGTTTTTAAATTGTCCCAAAAAGTAGTTGGAAAGTGATTGAAGTCGAGATGCCAGGTCTGGACCGATAACATTTTACAGAACTTTCTTTGGATTTTGTGGAACATTTCGAGATATATACTACAGGGGAGAAAATTCGGGTCTTCATCACACACGCATATATATATATATATATATATATATATATATATATATATATATATATACTACAGTATAAAATTTTGAAGAAATCACTAGAATCAGCATGGGATGATCTTGACAGAAGAGTAAAAATAAAATAAAAAAATGAAAAAGACCTCCTCGGATCACCGAAAAAACTGGAGTCAATTATTAAACTTATACTTTGAGAAATCTTTGCAACGAATGCCAAAGTAATCAAGGCTAAAGGAGGATATTTTGACGAGAGCAAAATTTAATCATAATTGTTTTTCTTTTTGTCATAATAAAATTTCTAATAAAAGTTCATGTCTCACTTTTTTTTTAACCATGTATAATAATTCTCTCTTAGTTAAATGTTATGTTAATTTATCCACGCACGCATGGATTCTCCCAGCTATGAATAGGAGCAGGTACTGCCTTCTGGAGAGGGAAATTTTCAGCAGTCAGTTTTGACAGTCGGACCATTCTTGCTGTAACACTCTCATTTGTATATGTTTGTATTACTGTTTCTGTTAATATATTTGTTTAACTCAATTCCTCTCTTTGTGTCTTAATTTCTGGCCCCTAACAAGGTGTTATGGGATCGTACCCATAATAATAATAATGGACTATTGCATACTTAATAAATACCGCGCCTCAGGAGTAGGCAAGGTGTCAGTAGTTCAAGTCGAGTCAAGAGTCAGATGCAGTCCGAATAGAGTCGCGTTCAGACAATTACTGCAAGACATTGGAATATTGATACTGGTCGAGACTACATTGTTCTCTCTATTAAACCTGATTGTTCATACTAACACTTCTACTTCTCTGTATATATTCCTGATTGTAATATATCTGTGATATTCCATACCTGTGTTCCAGTTCTTCTTTATTGGTTCTACCTTGGACTATCACCATGGTACAAGGAACCGGACCATAACACATATATGATAATTTTTTCTTAGTTAAATGTTATGGTAATTTATCCACGCATGCATGGATTCTCCCAGCTATAAATAGGAACAGGAACTGCCTTTTAGAGAGGGAAATTTTCAGCAGTCAGCTTTGACATTCTTGCTGTAACACTCTCGTTTATATATGTTTGTGTTACTGTTTCTGTTAATATATTTGTTTAACTCAACTCCTCTTTTTGTGTCTTTATTTCTGGTTCTAACCTTTGGGGGGGGGCAATTCATACGGTGAACGTACTTACCTATCAGCAAACCTAGCAACTGATTCAATATAATCGCTCCAGCTCATGTCAGTGGGAAACGTTAGACCAAGAGGATGAAAAGAGTTTCTTCTCGTGGAGGTTAGCATCAGCCATAGTGGAGGAAGGTAAATAAGGTCCTCTATAGTCATTAAAAATAGCAGTTTCGTTTTAGAATCGTTAAGATTGGTAAGCCATTCCTTGCCCCAGTTAAAACGAAGAGCATGTCTAATCGATCAAGTTTTATTCAACAGACGCCAGAAATCGTTTTCGAGCTCCAGTTAAAAAGCAACAATTTAATCCCGATTTTCTAGGTCGGTCGAACGTCCCCATGTAGAAGGTTCTTGTATTGAATCCTTACAGCTCTTTCATTTCCTCTGATAAAGCATTTAATATTTTATTTCATGGAGGTGATGGTTAACGAGATTCGCCAAATATGCAAATCTTATACTTTAAGCTTCTGTATTGAGAGATAAATATAGTTCTGAAATGGAACTTCTTTGAAATTCAAAACGCATCTTAAATCGGATTTGGAGTCAATGAAAACAGATAAACTACCCGACCCAGCTAGAAAGTGTCAGGTAGCCACCCCCCGGCAATCCAATACGCAGAGATAAAATATGTCAATGATATACCTCACGAAATGATTGCCTTCTGGCTAAGGTAAGCGCCCATTTTACACCGGCGGTCTGTGTTCGAATCCGGGTTAAGAAAGTGGATATTTTGCTTCCAAATTCTTCAAACAAATACTCAATCTTCGTCCAGTTAAAAATCAGAGAAACTCCTGAGAAGGAGTCAAAATATATCTAAAAAAAAAAAAAAAAGAAGCCATAACGTAGTTTTCCTGTATATATATATATATATATATATATATATATATATATATATATATATATATTAACTATGTCTTCTCTACTTAATGTATTGAGCACTTTATTTAGTTATTTTACTTACTCGTATCGGGGTTCTTTTCTTTGGGCTTTGGACTTGGATGCTGGGCGATTATTTTCGGCTAACGTACATGTTCTTGGCTCTTTCTTCTTTCATACATTTTTCCCTTTGGTATTGGTTTGATTATTTGCAAATCAAGACACCGAAGGTTTTCCGAACGAGTATAATTTCTTACACTTATAAGATTATGACTACTATTAATATATATATATATATATATATATATATATATATATATATATATATATTAACTCAATTTAAAATATGTTTTTTCGCTACACAGTAATAACCATGTTTCACAAAAATATACATTAAAGTCAACACTCAGAGGCGACAGGCTGTTTCATGCTAGACGCAATCGTCAGGCCGCGAATGCTGGATTTTTCCTAGACTATTTATATATATATGCCAGTGGTGCATTATGGGTAGTCTATTTTGGCTTTTTTTTCCAGTGGCTTGTTTGTTTATTTATTTATTTGGGTTAATTTATTTTGCTCGTTTTTTATTTTCATTTTGTGTTATGCATTCTTTTCGTTTTTGAAATTTTACTAACGTAGTAAAAATTTTGTGGTGAGGAATTTATTTAGGTCGTTAATTTAATAGTTTGTTTTGTTCTGTGGAGATAATCAAATTTATTCGTCCAGATTGTTTAGATTGCTTGCCGTAATCTATTCTGTTATTTTAGCGGGTGGACAATTTTTAATTTATTTATTTGGATTGATTATTTTTACTTGTTTTTGCTTATTTATGCTTATTTTTATTAGTTCTAACGGTTATTTTAGCGGGGACGATTCATTAATTAAAGTAATTGATTTAATTTTTCCACGTGTTCAGATAAGACGTTTAGCCATCTTGAGACCATTTGTCTTAAGAAACACTGAGAAACCATTTGATTTATTCAACCAGAAAGGTAACAGGTTAAAATGATTTTATGCCAACCCCACTATGTCTTCCTAACTGGGAAATAGTGAAAGGAAAAGATCATTTAGACCTTCAGTAATTAGTACTCTGACTTCCAGTAAGAAGAGTGAAAGAGAATTAGAAGTCTTTAGTGAGAGGAAAAGGACAATAAAAAAAGAGGAATTAAGAAGACAGAAGATAACGATTGACATTGCATTGAAATTTTTGAAGATCAAAGTTGACTGGAAAGTAAGAAGAGTGAAAGAGAATTAGAAGACTTTAGTGAGGGGAAAGGACAATAAAAGAAGAGGAATTAAGAAGACAGAAGATATCGATTGACATTGCTTTTAAATTTTATCTTCTAAAGTTGACTGAAAAATCATAAACCACAAGTGAGAAGTGCAACAGAAGAAACTATTAGCATAGAACTTACGCTTACATTTAGTCATTTCAACTGTAAAGTGATGAGACCCCCCCGCCAGTCTAGTACTGCGCTTAAATTCATAAAAATTATGTAGCGTAGAAGGAAGCCCACCAGAACAATTGCCAATAAAGAAACGCTACGGTACGGCGGTGGTAAAATGACTGAAGCCGAGGTGACAGATCAGGACTAATAACATTGCAGATTCTTCTTTGAATTGTAACAAATATCTCTGAATATATAGCAGAAGCGCCAGACCAAATGTGGCAGCAATATTCTCTGTAAGGATGAATGATAGGCTTATAGATATGTAAGATTCTAGCGAGAAAAATTACCTTGCTCGACACAGTGAATCATTTTTTCTAGCAGTAATCTTAGCAATTAATTCAGTAGGATCTTTCCACTTCATATCAATGGAATCATTAACCCGAAAAGGCGCAATAAGTCCTTGAGGTTAGCATTAGATTGTAAGCAAAAACGGT